CGGAGCCGGAGCCGCTGCTCTCCCCGCCCCGCCCTCCACCCAGCCAACCAGACGTGGGCCCTGCATCCGGCGCCGGCCAATCCGCGGCTAGCCTTTGCTGGAAAGGCGAAACCCTTAGGGGAAAAGCAATAACAAAAGCCTTTCACTGCAGACAAATGTTAAGTGTCTGTGCAGACTTTTCCTGTTTTTAATTTTATTGCTGCTAGAATGGAGGGTTTGTTGTTTCTTTCATGTTTCCTTTCAAGCAATTTTAATTATACATTTGTGCTACATCAGGGACTCTGGAACGCAGTGATTCAGCTCGCTGCATCTAAAGCTAAAATGCGGTAACCTTCTGGCAATACAGATATATTCCTGCACTGTAAATATAGCTGACATGCTAAAGAATTTTAAGCATCTGCAAAGGTCTTTGACACCACACACAGTGCCCGAGAGCAGATGATGAGAAAACCTGCTCTGTCTTTCCCTCCCCTCGTGAAGGGACGTGCTCCTAAAGAATCTTTTCCTCCGATTGTTGTCATGTGCAGGTTTTGACCAAATGCCTCATCACCACCGATTCTTGTTGCAATATGAATTTCTTATACTCAATGGGAAAAAAAAATCCTGAGGGAGTTACAAAGGACTCAGCCCTGATGTGAGGAAACGCTTGTGTTGCTTCCTCCTAGCTTTTCTTCCTGTGCTAGACTATTGCTACAATAGGCTGAATTTACAGTGAGTAAATTCAGCTGTCACGTAAGTAATAACAACACAGACCATATGGGAAGCTATTAAAAAAAAGAAAACCTTTGGAGACTCGTGAAAGAAAATCTTCCTTCTTTGCTAAACTCCCAACCGTTCACATATTTTACCTGATGTTTGAAGGTTCTCAATGAAATGAATCTTACCTTGTGAGGGTTTCCTTGCCTGAAAGGAGCTCAGCCCAGGCTTTCTGTAAAATTCAGAATGGCAGCAGTAGCACAAGGGAACAAAGAAATTAGAAACGGACTTTGAGTCCTGTCTGTCGTCTGGTACTTCCCAAAAAGAACAGGAGGGAGGGAGGTTGCAGAAAAGGAAACAAAGGTTCACACGAGCATTTCATTTGTTTGCCCTAATATTTTATATAGGTCTCAAAATCTAGGTCTTTTAAAATCATGCTTTAAAGAAACAATTTTTCAAAAGTGGCATTTGTCCTCCAGCGAAATAAAGAGGATGTTGTATTTTATTTCTCTGTGCCGTATGGTTACTAAGTGCACTTAGGTTTAGTAATTCACAGATGCAGTGCTAAATTAAATTGTCTGCAAAGCAGTGGGGGAAAGCAGCTTGCAGGAAACAAGCGTGTTGGTTTTGAGATTTCTTTTCTAATCCTCTGTGGCAAATGCTTACCAAAGTTGATTCTAAAGATAACCCCAATAGCAAATCTATTGTGCACATTTATTTTCTTAAGAGGGCTATTTTAGGAGCCCATAACATGAAACAAGACCAAACAGTGAAACAGACACCGCACCCAGGCTGATTATTGTCTCACAGAGTCAAGGAGGAGAGGATTAAGGAGAAGGCAGAGCTGATTATCAGCTCTGGACTCTGAGTCCCCATTTTCTCCTCTGTGCCTATTTTTATGCACCGGCATTTTTTTTCTTAATAAAAATCATCATCGTTTTGTGTTGTTGAATTGGAAACAAAACCAATTCTTTTCAGTCACCTTCTGGTTTAAGCACTGGTAACTGGCGCTGAGTTTACATTGGCTGCTTGCCAAACGAAAGCAATTATGTGTAATAATAGAAAAATTAAGAGGTGAGCGTTGCCATTTTATAGCAGGACATGGCAAAAACCATTTCCTTCTGTCAGCAGGATCGCGATTACACTCTCACACACAGTGTCGGCCTTCTGTACCACGTGTGTGTAAGCACCAAGTCACACACACACACATCATTTCCTGTGGGTTTTAACTTGAGGTCACTGAAACCAGAAAGAGGAAGACTGCAAACCACAGCTTTTGAAAGCAAATGAGAATAGAATTTTGCTGATAAAAATACCAAAATAAAGTGAAGTAGAAGTAAAGTGATCGGTGTTAAGTATGATCCCCTTTTATCCTCTTCTCCCTGCAGGGGTCCTGGTTGTCAATGTCACGTGGAGGAACAAGACTTACGTGGGGACCCTGCTAGACTGCACCAAGCACGACTGGGCCCCTCCCAGGTATGCATAGGCCTTTCATCCCCCCTTTCCCTGTGCTCCCTTTGCAAGGAAACTAGAGAACAGATTAATAATATGTAAAAGTCTACTTGTAATTGAAATCAGGCAAAAGAGAAACGAGCAATTCAGGACTGAACACGGTAAAGTGAAAATTCTGGCTTTCTTTTGTATCAGGAGCCTGCTCCCCCCCCCCTCGTTTTCTTCTCTTCTTAAAATGGGAATTTGAACTGGATTGGAAGCCAGCTATCTGAGCTGTTTTTCTTTGATTTTCTGAAGCAGAATATAAGTCATCTGTAGCCTGTTCTTTTGCAGGTGTTGAACTTGTCAGTGGAAAAAGAAAATGTTTTTCCTCAAGCTACCCAAGTGTTGACTCCTCTTGGCTGCTTTGTGCACCTTGTGATTCCGTCTGACTCTTGGAGATGCTCACTTTGACACCTATCCCTTACTTCCCTAGGTTTTGCGAGTCACCGACAAGTGACCTAGAGATGAGAGGTGGCCGGGGCAGAGGGAAGAGAGCAAGGTCGGCCGCCACCGCCCCTGGCTCCGAGGCCACTTTCACCGAGTCCAGGGGGCTGCAGAGCAAGAACAGAGGAGGGGCCAATGGGAAAGGAAGGCGGGGCAGCCTCAATGCCAGCGGGCGGAGGACACCCCCAAACTGTGCTGCAGAAGACATCAAAGCCAGTCCTTCCTCCACCAATAAGAGGAAAAACAAGCCTCCCATGGAACTGGACCTGAACTCCAGCTCTGAAGACAATAAGCCTGGGAAGCGCATCCGCACAAACTCTAGAAGCACCCCCACCACCCCTCAGGGGAAACCAGAGACTCCTTTTTTGGACCAAGGCTGCTCTTCTCCAGTGTTAATTGATTGTCCTCACCCAAACTGCAACAAAAAGTACAAGCACATTAATGGCCTGAGGTACCACCAGGCTCATGCACACTTGGACCCAGAAAACAAGCTGGAGTTTGAGCCCGACAGCGAGGACAAGATCTCAGACTGCGAGGAGACCTTGAGTAATGTGGCCCTTGACTGCGGGGAGCCAAGCACAAGTGTGTCTGCTTATGACCAGGCAAAGACACCCATGTCCCCTGGTGCCGGGAACCCCCCTGGGACTCCCAAAGGAAAGAGAGAGCTGATGAGCAATGGCCCGGGGGCTCTCATGAGTCCCAAAGCTGGGAAGACCTCTGGCAAAAAGAAGGGCCTTAACAGTGAACTGAACAACCTTCCGGTCATCTCTAACATGACGGCCACCTCCGACAGCTGCTCGGCCGCAGACAGCGCGCTGACGGCTGAGATGCCCAAACTGGAAGCAGAAGGGCTGATTGACAAGAAAAACCTGGGAGACAAAGAAAAGGGCAGAAAAGCAAACCATTGCAAAATGGACAAAAACCTCTCCAAACTGAAAAGTGCGCGGCCCATTGCCCCGGCCCCAGCCCCCACTCCCCCGCAGCTCATTGCTATACCTACTGCTGCCTTCACAACCACCACCACCGGGACGATGCCCGGCCTGCCCTCCCTTACGACCACTGCTGTCCAGGCCACACCAAAGAGCCCTCCTCTAAAGCCCATCCAACCAAAGCCCACAGTCATGGGAGAGCCTGTCACCGTGAACCCAGCTCTGGTGTCGCTGAAAGACAAGAAGAAAAAGGAAAAGCGCAAGCTGAAGGACAAGGAAGGGAAAGATTCGGGAAGCCCGAAAGTGGATGCAAAGCTGGGGAAGCCGGAGGACACCAAGGGCACTGGCAAAGACTTACCTGGGCATTTTTTAAAGGAGCATCTCAGCAGGAATGAAGGGCTGGCTAACGGGCTGTCAGAGGCTCAGGAGAGCCGCATGGCCAGCATCAAGGCCGAAGCCGACAAGGTCTACACGTTCACAGACAATGCCCCCAGCCCGTCCATAGGCAGCGCCTCGAGGACGGAGTGCAGCGCCCTGGTGAGCGGGCAGGCACCCATGGGCCCACTGCATGTGCTGACCCAGAACGGCGCCGAGAGCTCGGCTGCCAAGACCAGCAGCCCGGCCTATTCAGATATTTCCGATGCTGCTGATGATGGTGGGTCTGACAGCCGGTCAGAGGGCATGAGGTCAAAGGCCAGTTCCCCGTCCGACATCATTTCTAGCAAGGACGGTATCGTGAAGGGGCACTCCTCCACTGCCGCACCGCCGTCTCAACTGAAGGAGTCCCCTTCCCCCTATTACCATGGCTATGACCCTTATTATTCCCCGAGTTACATGCACCCCGGCCAGGTTGGTGGCCCTGTGGCTGGGAATAGCGGGAGCTCACAGGCCATGAAGATCAAGAAGGAGTCCGAGGAAGATGCAGAGAAGAAAGACAAGGCAGAGCAGCTAGAGTCTAAGAAAGCGGACCACAGTTCTGCATCCCTGCAGCCGCAGCACCAGTCGGTGATCACGCAGAGGCACCCTGCCCTGGCCCAGTCGCTCTATTACGGCCAGTACGCCTATGGGCTGTACATGGACCAGAAGTCTCTGATGGCCTCCAGCCCTGCCTACAGACAGCAGTATGAGAAGTACTATGAGGACCAGAGGCTGGCAGAGCAGAAAGTGGCCCAGGCTGGCAGAGGAGACTGTGACAGGAAGACTGAGCTCCCCCTGAAGGAGCTGGGCAAGGAGGACAGTAAGCAGAAAAGCACGCCGTCGGCCACAGTCTCAAAAGCTCCCTCTGCTCCGGAGCCTAACAAAAACCATTCTAAACTAGGGCCGTCAGTGCCTAATAAAACTGAGGAGACAGGTAAATCACAGCTTCTCTCCAATCACCAGCAGCAGCTTCAGGCCGACAGCTTCAAAGCTAAGCAGATGGAAAACCACCAGCTTATTAAGGAGGCTGTAGAAATGAAGTCTGTCATGGACTCTATGAAGCAGACAGGTGTAGACCCAACCTCGAGATTTAAACAAGTAAGATTGTGGATCGTGGCCCCGACAGAGAGAGAGTAGTCTGAGACGCGTACATGTCTGGGGTTGATCTGGTTAGACTTCTTCCACAGGAGAGAAACCAACACCAGGGTTGTTTTTGTTTTTTCCTCTTGAAAAATATTCCAAAAGAGTCTCAGGAGTTGTTGTGTAGCTGTAAAATGTACGTGGCTTGCTATTTTCTTACTATGTTCCAGACACGCACTTTGCAGACCTGTGTTCCATGCCGTCACTGTGTTCAGTTCTGTGGCTCTAACGCAGTCCCTTAATTTCTCACTGAGTCTAGTGAGGGCATTCCACTAGAGATACTAAATTCCTTTCACACTCTGAGATTCTAAGTTTGATCGCTAAATAAATTTCCGCTAGCATCTTCTAGGAATATTATAACTGGGCGCCTAAATCCATATTTCCTACTCTTCTTTTGGTGGTACTGGGTGTTGAACCAGGGCCTTCACACTGAGCTACATCCCCAGCCAGTTTTTGCTTTGAGACAGGGTCTGGCTAAGTTGCTAAGAGGCCCAGAGTCTTTCACCTGGGCTGTGAGATGCCTCCATTCCTGCTCCACACCCTGTGTTAGATGCCCAACGCAAAGCTCTACGCTGAGCGTTTGTGAGGAGAGTGGCCTCAGCACTTGTCCCAGGTGCCGGTGGCAGCCGTCTTGGGAACACCTGAGAGTCAGTCACCAGAAAACCACACAAGTGCCAGCACTTTCACGGTTCTGGCATTGTGAGTCACGCAGCCTCCAGAGCAGTCATTCCAGTACTGCTTAGCACTGCCGCCCCACCCCAGACCCCTCCTGACAGAGTCCCTGTGAGTCAGAGCGGCAGCCCTTTCTGCATGACATTTCTGCCCAAAGTTGGGGCTAAAGCCCAATTCTGAACGTCCTCTGGGACCTGAATTCCTGGTGGATTTACACCACCCGTGGAACGGGTGCCACAGAGGCCATTTGGGATTCTCAGTTTCCCCTCTACCAGAGGCCCAAGTCGGGCCGTTGCTTGACAAGACTGCATTTGAACAACACAGTTTTGGACATTCACGGATGGCTTTGTTTTCTAATAGAGAAGCCATAATGTGTGCTCTGAATTTGAAATTTTGTTTTGATTAAGTTGTTAACACATAATGAGAAGTGAGCTGATGTATTAAGCCTCAGCTGCAGTAAGTGAAGAAAATGTATTAGAAAACTAGGAGTTTTTTCTTCTAAGTGATGTTAATAGCTATAGTAATTGCTTAAATTTGCTATTATTAGCTTGAGTTAGAATTTTTAAAATCCTTTTTACCTATATGAGATGTTAAAAGGAAAATGAGGGTTGGATTAAATATGTCTGAGGATGTTATTTAATGTTCAGAAATGACATTAAGGGACTAGCTCTGAATTCCAACAGCCAAAAGCTGGGCTTCTCAGTTGGGCAGCAGGTTGACCTTGATACTGCTTGAGCTTATAAAAGATTTGGTTTTGCCTTTTCTACAAGGAATCAATGGTAACCCCAGACATTATTACTTTACGAGAGGAGTAATACCAAGCGCCTAACACATAAATAGATGCTAACTTTGTATGCGGAGTAATAGTAATAGTGCTGTCGGGATGACTAATGGGTTTCCTTAAACATTGAAGTTTTAAGACAAATGTATATATATATATTTTAAAATCAGGATCCAGATTCAAGGACGTGGCATCATTACGTCTACCAGCCCAAATACCTGGATCAGCAAAAATCAGAAGAACTTGACCGAGAGAAGAAGTTGAGAGAGGACAGTCCAAGGAAAACTCCTAATAAAGACAGCGCCGCGTCCAGCCTGCCCGTGTCATTGACAAGCATCAAAGAAGAACCCAAAGAGGCCAGGCGTCCCGACTCACAGTCAGTGGACGACAACAAGCTGAAGAATGACGACCGAAAGACCCCTGTGAATTGGAAGGACTCCCGGGGGGCCAGAGTGGCAGTGTCCTCGCCCATGAGTCAGCATCAGTCCTACATACAGTACTTGCATGCTTATCCTTACCCGCAGATGTATGACCCCAGCCACCCTGCATACCGGGCTGTCTCTCCTGTCCTAATGCACAGTTACCCTGGTACGTGTTGTGGGTTCTGACTCTATGGGAGGGAAGAGGCAGTGTTCAAGTATTAGCTATTAAAGACTCAAGATAAATTAGAAGCTTCAAGAATGACATTTATTTTGCTTGTTTTTATGTTGTTTAAAGTCCCAGCGATGAAACTGATTTAATAGAAGAATTTTGGCAATGAAATGTCAAGAGTCCTCAGCTGTAGTTTCCGTAGTCTCTGATGGTCTGCTGTAGATGTTAGACTGACAGATACTTTATTGCCTATGAAAATATTCTAAGCACTTACTGTCATAATCATTATAGTTACTATTCCTTACACTTAAGCAGACACATAAGTGTGTGAAATGGCTGTAAGCTCAGTTCTGTTTATAACCTTCATTCATCAGGATGAATTAACTGGAGAAAATCGGAGAATCTAGATATAGTAGAACAACGATGTAGCTCGTCTTTAATGTAACCCCTTATTTTAAGATGTCTGACTCTTATCACAAGTTCATGTAACCCAAACGATTTTTTTAAAGATGTAGCGCATAATTTGATGTGGCATTTGTTGTTTATCTGCAGGGGCCTATCTCTCTCCAGGATTTCATTATCCTGTTTATGGGAAGATGTCAGGGAGAGACGAGGCAGAGAAAGTCAATACCAGCCCCAGCATCACCACGAAGACAACCACTGAATCTAAAGCCCTGGACTTGCTCCAGCAGCATGCCAACCAGTACCGCAGCAAGTCTCCTGCTGTAAGTCTGGTTCCGTTGCTATTTAAAGGACGTGTTTGGGGGGAGAAAAGGGGACAACCTATGGAACAGTCGTGGAACCCAACTGTGATTTTAGGAGGCTGTTTTATCCTTCATACATAAAGAATAAACTGTTCAAAAATAAGATGCTTTTACACACGAGAGACAATTGTTGAAGAATATATGATAGTTAGCTCTTCTGTTGAAAAATGTGGTATGCCTTGCTAACCAGGAGGACACATATCATGTGGGAATTTAAATTAATAGGAAACAACTTGTGGTGCAAATTGTTGTTGATGAAACACTGAAAAATTAAGGAATAATCAGGCATAAGCTGTTGACCTATTGGGCAACTGTGGAACTTTTTTAAAAACTTTTTTTGGGGAAACAACTTTCAAAAATCAGGATTATCTCATACAGATATCCTTTTTCTCTGAAAACAGTTGAAAGTGAGACATGGTGATGCCCACCTGGAATCCCGGCACTTGGGAGGCTGAGGCAGGAGGATTATAGGGTTGTAGCCAGCTTGGGCTACATTGTGAATGCCTGCCTGGATTGCATAGTAAGACCCTGTCTCTGAAAACAAAGAGCAAAAAGATAATGGGAAATCTGGTCCAAACCTTACTTGACAGCAAAGTAATGGAGAAGTAGACTCCTGTTGCTGGTGTATGCCTCCTCCCATCCGTGCAGCAGGTATACAATGAACCCGCCCATCTCACACCACTTGTCTTTGTTGTTAGCCTGGCCTCTGTGGATGTGAGTTTTATATTTCTCTGTGGATCTGTGGTATTCATGTGGTCATTGCCCATACCTGGATGTGACGGTTCTAAGTCAGAAAAGAGAAGTTTAGAATCTGTTCCCTACTGCGTGAATGGGTCCACTCAGTAGAAAAGCTGGAAAGGCACCTGAAGAGTCATTTTCTGTGAGTCCTTCTTTTGGTAACTAGATTTTTTTTTTTTAAATCCAGGTGCAAAAAGAGAACTGCAGTGAAAGGGTGATTAGGTTCTCACAAGGTAGAAATGTACAGGAAACATACATTCCTTAACCAAACTGTGGCTTGGGAGCATTCAGAATTTGGAGGATTCCAGATGTGGATACAGCATAACGGTTTCCTGTGCAGTCCTCCCTTGATGAGTGCAGGGAATTCGTTCCAGAGGATGCCAAAAGCCAGGCATTCAAATACCTTTATATAAAATAGCATGGCATTTGCATATAATTTACTCACGTCTTCCTTTATATGGTACTTTAAAGTATCTCTAAAAGATGTCAAATATTTAACACAGAATAAATGCTATATAAATAGTTGTTCTACTGTATTCTTAGGAAATAATGACAAAAATCTATATATTTAGTATAGCAAGTTATTACAATATTTTTGTTGGTTGAAGTACAGAAGTGGAATTCGTTGAATGTGGAGGACAGACTGCGCTATACGTTGACACGTGAAACTGGGGGGTATATTTTCATTGGAACAGAATGGATAGAAATATGCTTAAAACTATGAGAATTACAAGTGTAATGAGAAAATGGAATCATCTTCAATGGAATCTGAATAGAATCTTCAAAATTACTTGTTTTCCTTGACGCATATGTAAAAGTTGTTGTGAGAAAATGGTAGATTCTAAACCTGCAGTTATGAGCGACTCTGAGGAGAATCTCGTCCTACTTGGTGCACTTTGGGTGAGGCAGTTAGTTTTGGTTTAATTACAATGGAAACTAAAGCACATCTTTTAAAAGTATTGCCAACTAACAGAATTTTGAGTATGATCTGCTTTTTAATCATTTACACATATTGCTGAAGAGACAAAGTTTGGCTAGGTATTCCTATTCGGTGTGTTTCAGAGAATTAAGTAAGGGACGTTTTTCTTCCTGATTGCAGCCGGTGGAAAAGGTGACAGCCGAGCGGGAACGGGAGGCGGAGCGGGAACGGGATCGCCACTCCCCCTTCGGCCAGAGACACCTGCATACCCACCACCACACCCACGTCGGCATGGGCTACCCTCTGATCCCTGGCCAGTATGACCCTTTTCAAGGTCAGCAGCTCAGTTCTCATTGCTTTATTTCCATTTTCTTCTGGGAAAGTGTTGCTCCATCTACCTGATATGATTTTTTAAATACTGTACCGAACTTTGAATTAACAGCTTGAGAAGGGGAAGACTTTTATCACTTATTTCTTAGTATTTCCTAGGCTATTCACACATCTTTGTATTCTAATGGCTTACGTTTACTAATTGTCCCTGGCTGATGGTATCAGGCGCTTACTGTTATCTCACAGACTGAGGGTGGTGGTAGGGTCTGGGGCACTGAATATAACAATCAGAAGATCAGATATCTACTGCAAGGAAATTGTGGAGAAAAGGGCAGGATACTGGGAGGCTTTGGTGAAATGTGTTCTGTCCTTCTCTGTCTGTAGGCCTTTTGCTCTTTTCTTATGCAAGTGGTGAGGAGACTCAGTCCAGCACTTTCTAATCTAATTGGAGGGCTCTTCACAGCCCTTCACTGCTATCGCCTTCAATAAAAAGGAAGGTCGAGAAAAAGAAGCCTTTTCAAGAATCTGTAGACTTGGCCTTCTGCCGGAGCCATCCATTCGTGGTGTATTAATTATCGTAGTGCGTCACCTCAGAAGGTGTGGGGGTGGGCCTGGTCTCCCCCAGCAGTCCCACCTGCCTGGGATACTGCTGTCTTTGTCAGCATGGGTGGTGATGCCTCCGTAGCATAGACTGCATTGCTTTAAACAACAGAAATACATTCGCTCACGGTTCTGGGGGCTGGGAATGGGAGATGGTGTTCCACTCCGTGGCGAGGACTTTCACAGACTTGTCAGCCGCTGCACCACCATCTCAGTGTGCTCTTGCAGGGAGGAAGCCCAGACCTGAATGTCTGTCTCTGTTCTCCCGCTCCCAGTATTCACAGTGGGATGAGACCATGTCAGTTCATTTGACTTTAATTACCTCTTCCTGGGCCCTGTTTCCAACTGCAGTGAAACTATAGAGTTTAGGGCCTCAACATAGGAATTTCTGGGGGACGTGGCCAGGTTTCTTCTTACCCCACTATGTGAGCATAGAGCAAGATCGTTCTTATTTATTTAACTCTCATTACTTGATGTCAAGCAAGCATCTCTGCTTCTTAAACAGCTTGTATTGAGTACGAACTTGGGAACTTGGCAGAGAAGCGGCTTTTGTTTCTAACGCATTGTAATCTGACGTATTCACATATCATAACTGTGTACGTGAGCAGAATGTCTTCCCGTATATTGTCGTTGTTATATACTGTCTTACATTACGTCCGGGGAAAAGAAAGCATGTCCGCATAAAGGACATAGAAGAAGTGAGCAATCTTCTTTCAGTTTACTTTGTTTCCCAGGACTGTTTTCTTTAGAATTTAAGAGAATTCTCTGTTAGGCAACTTAATGTTGTTCAGGGAGCTGTTTCTGTCTCTGCTACCTTTGTCTTATAGATTGAGGCTATTTCTAAGTCTGATTTACCGACTTCATGTACTTTATCACATGCGTTGTGTTAAATCACTTGGAGAAGGATTAAAGTGATCAAAATTATTATAAAGGTATTGCATTCTAAGGAAATGGCATGTTGTGTTTATATTTCACTGTGACTTTTTATTCTTGTTGGTGCTTATTATTTCTTCTGAGCTGCTTATTCAGGAACGTGTGCAAACTATTCAGCACCTGGCAGAGGCAGAGGGAATACTATATCCTCTCTGAATAGCTATTAGGAAAACTGCAGACTCTTCAGTAAAGGGATAGATCTGGTTAGACCGAATGGTTTGTCCTCTGTCCTTTCAGCACGAAACATTTCATGTGTTTGCTTAGGAAGAGACAGATTGCTTCTTCTGGGTCTGTAGCCTGCCGGCATTACTGTTTTCTGCGGAAATGTCTCAGAAGCTCCCATTTCTTCCCCACTAGGCTTGACCTCTGCTGCCCTCGTTGCCTCTCAGCAGGTGGCTGCCCAGGCGTCTGCATCAGGAATGTTTCCTGCACAGAGAAGGTAAATGTCATCTTTGTTTTCCGTTCGTGTCCTAGGCACAGCCATCATAGTCGTTCTGGGAAAGCCAGGATTGGCCTTTTAGAGGAAAGCGTTAGTTCCTCAGGTTCCTAGGGTCATAATGAAGGTGCTTATTGTGCACACGTCTCATCAACTTGGATCCTATGAGACGTGTTCCCTAAATGTGATGTGGATGTCGGCGAGCCTGTTTGTTTTTTACACAGTTGAAATTTCTTTAGGTTCTCCTTGCAGCTTTGTTAAAGTAACTCACCACAGTTCCCTTTGTTTTATTATATTTGCAAATAAAGTTACAAATAGAGTAATTTATTACCATAATGCTGAAAGTAATGTTGGTTCCTGTTTCATCTACCCCTTAAGCTGTTTTAAGAAGGGACAATTTGGAGTTATTATTAACATAAAATTAACGTTTTCACAATTTATGTTATCACATCATGTCAGTTCATTTTGTCTGGCCTTGAATTCCACGAATGGAGTAGAGTTAAAATAACTCTCAGTCTCAGTGTTTCCAGGTTTTCAGTGTCGAATGTCGGTAGAGGCCTATGCTAACATGTGCTTTTCTTTTGCAGAGAATAACAGGATTAGAAGTGTACGGTGTCATGTGACTGGATCACATGGGGAAGCGCTTTATACAGACATCAGTTCCATGGTGTTAATTTGAAATGCCTTAATGGCAGGCAAAAACCAGTCATTTCATTTTTGTAAATTACAGATTTTATCACAGAGTAACAAATGTTGCTGTAATTAAACTTCTGTTTTATATATATATATACGTATACATATCTGTATATATACATACACATATATATATATATACATATATATATATTCTTTACTTTTTGTATCAGTAACCAGGCTCGCACACACAGGGTCTGCTGCCAAGTTGCAAACCACTCAGTAAAGGAAATAAAAATGTATTTGTCATGTTGAAAAGTGTTAGCCACAAAAGGCTGCTTAGTTTCTTTTCCTTTTCTCCTTTTAAACTGTAAATAAAGAACGTTATGTATCAGCGTGCCCACCCCCTTGCATACCCTTCCTGTATTTCCCGTGAGCCCTCAGAAAGGCGAACTGTGATGGTGACACTCGGTACAGTTTAGATGTCTGTCGGTGGCGCCTGCTAAAGACGCATCAGTGTAAAGTGCTCCTGTAGTCACTGTTTGTACTCGTGCATTGTGGGAAAAAATACTTCTGGAAGGCATGGGGTTGCCAGTACCACAAAAACTGTGTTGTATATAATGTAAAGATTAAAATGGGGAAATAATGAGCATCTGTGAATAATAAGGTGTCATTTTTTGATAATCTTGAATGGCAAATAACCCAATAGCCTGCGTAACAGAGACATCTGTGATTGTTCTATTACTTGAATAGTCCTACAGTCCTTTTCTTTTTTTTTAAATGTTTACAATTTTCCAGTTTTAGAAAGACTTTAACGCCATTGCCTGGTTACTTGTTTTATGCTGTAATCTAGTTTATTTTATGTAAAATGTATATTGAATGCTTTCCTTTTTTATACCTGCCTTAAATAATTTGGCAATCAGAATTAAAAAGGTTTTTTTTTTTTATAATGGCTTCTTGTCTGTCTCATTATTTCTAGCTGGTTGGTAGAGATTTTAACTTTCAGAGAAGGATTTCTTAGTACTATAAGTGCATAAGACATGACATACTTTTCATATATGAAATTTGGGTGCAACAACCTAGCTGTGTGTGTAGTCCAGTGAATCTATAAGTACTCATAGGTTTTTACTCTACAGAACATGTCACTACACACTAGTAGGTACAGATTTCTGTAATGTGGAATGATATTCCAGACAAATACTAATAGAGGTTTTAAAAATTAAAAAACAAAGACAGAAACCTTGTATCACTTGGGCAGCAGATAGTAAGTCAGCCAGCTTGTCACTCAGTTGATTTACGAGAACATGTTAGGTCAAACTTTACCTCCGTATTCTTATTTTCACTTCTCCTCTTCCTCCTCCCTCCCTGCCTTCCTCCCTTTCACCTTTGTTAGCTTCAGTGGAGAGCTGTTTAGCACCTGCTCCACCCTGGGCCTGGCACATTGTACCAGGATTGACTGAAATGCGCATAGCAAACAAGATCTCCTGTCCTTACAGAACCTTCATTTCTTTGTGGGTTAAAAACGTGTGTCTCAGTTACTTTTCTTGTTGCTGAGGCAATATCCCTGGCACCCAAAACTAAAGAAGGAAGGGTTTATTCAGCTCACAGTTTGTAGAGGGCTCAGTTCCCAGTCAGCCGGCTCCAGGGTGGCACCGCAGAGAGGCGTCACGGAGAATAAACAGTTGATGGCAGAAGACAGCACAGCAAGCAGGGGGGTCTCCTGCATCTTAGCCAGGCTGCTTAGAACAGGCGGCGCTCGACAGCCCTCATTCCAGGGTCCTCGATCCTAGCACTGTGCCACGAGTCTGCCCAGTGCCACACACCCTGCTCCAGCCACCGCTGACAAAGCCCAGCCTCTGACCGTGAGGCTTTGGGGACATCTAAGACACAAGCCACAGCAGTGTGTTCGCTGGTTGATACATGTTGCCAAGGTAATTACAGTCTGGGTTGGGCACAGTGAGTGCACAGGAGTCTGGGAAGCTGGGGAAGGCTACACTACCGAGATGAGCAGCAAGGTGTGCACTCTCCTGCGGGGAAAGCACTGCAATGAGATGAAAGGCAGGTGCAGCAGTCCTCAGGTGCCAGGGAAGCTGCTTCCCGCGCTTCGACTGGTTGGTTTCATTGGTTTCCAGTGGCAACTTTTTATGACTTTACTGTAATTGCTAGTGACAGTTTTACCACTTTATTTACTAAAGAGTTCTTTGAATGGACAGAGTTTGTCTTGGTATAATTTGGTTATGCTTTAAATGTCTTCGCCTCATAAATGAACAGACTTTTTGCAATTGAAACGTTTCCTCCGCTTTTGAAAGGCCGCCTTAAAGTGTTGCATTTGCAACTTGCCTCGCAAGTGTAGCTAATGTTCTTCCTAGATTTCAATGGAGGATGTTTGTCCCGCAATTTTGAGTTCATTTTTCTTCTGCGTTTCATCTGTGTTGTCATTTATAAAGACATGTTTTCTGGTGTTTCTGCCTACACAGAAGACTACTTCGCATATTTTAAATCCTTTTTAAAGTATCAAAATTTTCAGTTCTTAAACCGTATTTGGATTATATCTTGGAAGAGTTTACATCACCGGTCTGTCTCAGTTGCCTTGAGGGTCCTCCAGTTCCTGGCCAGCCCTTTAATTGCCAAAACACGGGAGCAGAATTAGATCCGTTTACATCTTCACCAGCTGAATTACCTTGCTGTTTATGTAGACTGCGTAATACTAAGGATTCCTGATGATTTCTCTGCTGTTAGCAATGCATATTTTTAAAATCACACGTATACAAGCTACAAAATACACAGGGTATGTATTTATTCCTTGCCAGGATTTCACTCACTTCTAGTTCGGTGTTTAAAAAGATAGGACATAAATACTTGCATTAGACCATGCTTAACTCTGCTACTGTAATAAATGGGAATGCTGATAAATACAGAGAGACACATGACCAAAAAAGCTCAATGTGAGCCAAATAGGTCCCCCTCCTGCCTGGGCTTTTACCTGAACATGATTCATGACTGGTTTACACCAATCACTAAAAGAAGTTCTGTTTCTTCCCCATACTTTCACAGTGTTATGGTCGCTGATGATAACATGAATTACCAAAGGCTAGAGCTTGTTTATATTTTATGCCATTTCTCTGGCCGAGTGTACAGCCAGTACCAAATGGTAAATTAAGATTCCCAAAAGACAAGCTTACTTGGCTCTATTATATTACTATGATGAAACTGCCATTAATACGCTTCTAATTGTTTTACTTTTATAGACATAAAATCAGTCCCCTTAGTGACTAATAAGAGGGTTTATTGATTTTGCTAACCATTATTCATTCCAGGCCTGTTCGTATCAGCTCGTCCTGAACCTACGCAAAAAGCCTGCAGTGCTGACACAATGCGGATTAACTTTGTGGAGAAACCAGAGCTGCAATCCCATCAGATGAAGAATATTAAAAATAAGGCAGTAGATGCTATATAGAGCCATTTGTTCCTACATTAGGGACTAGATGGCTTTGTCATGGAAACTTGCCATTGATGTTCTGCCCAGAGTAAAACGGCCAGCCCTCCACTTTCACACTGGCTGCAACTGAAGGGTCTGGGAGGAACCACAGTGAATAGGTCTGATTGATAAGGGACAAAATAGCAGTTTAATGATAATTACTGGTCATTTCATTCCTGCTCATGACTCTGAAAAGGAGATAAGACAGGCAAAGCCATTTAAGGTTGTTTTTGTCACTAACTACTGTTATGCATTCCCTGTTTCCTGCAGTAGTCTGAGACCTAAACGCTGTTCACTTTCAGGAAACTTTAGGGGAGAAGCAAAGCGAAGCCACAGTGTACTGGCAGGAATTCTGCCATGATGTCTTGCTCAGTCCTTAACAAAATCATTCTTTAGAGGATAGTGCTCAGCCTCAGCACTGAACTGTTTTGTACCAGATAATTCTTAGTTTGGGGGTCCTGGCCTGTTGAACAGCACCCATGTCCTCCATCCCAAAGATAATGGCAACAGCTTCCCCAAAAGTCTTGACAGTCAGCTGTCAGGAAGCGCAGAACTCCTGCCTGGGCTCTGCCCCATGCTGGGCTCTGCCCCATGGGGACTCCTGAGTTGTGTTTTGTTGCTTCTAAAGAGCTCCAGGTAACCATGGGAAAATACAACAGGATGCTTATATGAGCAACGTAGACAAAGTTGGGCAAGATCTGTAGCTCTTTAAAGAGAAATGGATCATGTAGAATCCAACACAGTTTTCATAGTTGAAAGTTAGTTCAATGTAAAAACTGAGGGTTCTATTCACTTCATAACATAAATTTTCAATATTGTTTTATATCAGCCTTCAAAAGTAAATATTGTTTTTCCCTGGAATGAAGATTGCCAGGTTGGGAAAACAGGATGAATGGGGTAATGCTTTTTATTTATGTATTTTTTAATTTATTAAATTTATTGGTTCATTTTAGGTATACAGTATGATGGTGCTCATCATTGGGAATTTGTACCTTTATATGATATATCTTGGTTATTTTCTCCCTCCCCTTTTCTCCCTTAAACCCCCCCACTTCTCCCTATTTACAAAGACTTTGTTCCCAGTTTTCCATTTCTCAAATTTTTTCCAGTCCCTTCTTTCCTTTCCCGTACCCCTCCTACTGCCCCTTCCCCTTTAGACCTTTTCTTCCTGTTTCACACTATTATACATTTTGATCCTTATTTACACTTTCATTTCTCACACCAGAAAAACTATTTGGTATTTACACATGTGTCCTATTTATTTCACTTAAGAGCATGGCCTCAATGTGCATCCATTTGGCTATAACTGACTAGTTTCTCATTCTTTATAGCCGAGTAGTACTCCATTTTATTAAAAAAAAAATCTTCCAGTCTTCAATTGATGAGCAATTGGGCTGTTTCCGAGTTTTAGGTATTACAGACTGTGCTGCTATCACCATTGCTACACGTATATTGCTGTGGTGTGATTCATTTAATTCTTTTGGGATGATACCCAGCAGGGGAACAGCTGAGTCAAATGGGACCTGCAATCCTAGTTCTTGCTTTTTTTTTGGTATCGGGGATTGAACTCGGGTCCTTGTGCTTGCCAGGCAGGCCACCGAACTGCTGAGCTAAATCCCAGGCCCCTTAATCCTAGTTCTTTGACGTATCTCCATATTGATTTCCACAGTGGTTGCACCAGCCTGCACTCCCACCAATGGAGAAGGCTTCCTTTCTCCTCATATCCCCACCATTTGTTATCGGTTGTTTTCGTTTTAGCAGCCGTTCTTTCTGGGGTGAGGTGGAATCTCAGTGTTGTTTTCATCTGCATCTCTCAAATGCCCAGTGATGTGGAACATTTTTTCATATGTTTATTTGCTGCTTTTACTTTGTCTGAGAAATGTCTGTTCATTTTGGATGCCCATTTATGAATTGGGTCTCTAAATTTGGGATACTCTGATTTTTTTAAAGTTCTTTTTACATTTTAGATAGTAGTTCTTTGAGGAAGAGCTGGTAAGAATTTTTCCCACTTGTAGTTTGTTAGCTCTGTTGGTGGTTTCTCTTGCAGTGCAGAAGCTTTTTAATAAGATGGGATTCCAATTGTTGATTCTCTGTGCTAACTAGTTCCTGTGCTACTGAGATTTATTCATAAAGTCTTTCCCTATGCCAGTGTCTTCAAGAGTTGTACCTAACCTATCTTCCAGCAAGTTTAGTGTTTCTGTTTTAATATTTAAATCTTTGATCCACTTGGATTTTGTTTAGTGCACGGTATAAGATATGGGTCCAGTTTTAATCTGTGGCAGTTTGAAATCCATTTTTTCCAGCGCTATTTATTAAAGAGGCTATCCTTCCTCCAGTGATGGTGTTTGGCTCCTTTGTCAACAATTAGTACGTCTGGAGTTGTTTCTGCATCTTCTAATCTAT